CTTTGAATTGAGTTCGAATAATGATATTTTCGAATGCGAAACTTCATGTTATTAAGAGTTAGAATTCATGACATTAACGTAGTAATAAAAAATAAGCTGAAACAACAACAACAACAACGACAACAACAACAACAACAACAAAAACAACAACAACATCAACGACAACAACAACAACATCGACTTACCATTACATCAGAGCAATAGATCCAGATTACAACCTCAAATCCCAATTAATACAACCAGCAAAAGTATCAACAGTTGTAATGGTACTGCAGTTTTTTGATTGCAGTATTATTCGATAGTATCAATGTTTGTATCATTCAATAGTATCACTGTTTTTATCATTCAATAGTATCAATGTTTGTATCGTTAGTATCAACGCCAATGTTTCTATCACTAATAATAGTAATGATATTGTTCAGTTTTCATGCACATTTAACACTTCAGAAAAAATACACATACATAGACATATGCACACATTAAAAAAACAAGCAAACATATATTCAGACAGGCAAACGTCCAAGCAGAAAAACATACAGACATACCAAAACAAAATTGTATACTGAAGATAACTGTAGATCAGGCAATCACGAATCAACGACTTGAAATTAAATTTTATTTATATAAACATAGGAACGATAAATTGGCTGCTTTTTTTTGTTGCACAGTTACACATACACACACACACAGATTTACACACACACAGATTTACACACACACACACACACACACACACACAAACACAAACACACAGAACTTTTATAAAAAAAAAAACGGCATAAAAAAATTAAAGCTGCGATTTATTGAACTGCTTATTAACAAATAATTATTAAATTTATTTATTTCTCAAATGTATTTCTTATTTATTTAAAGATTAATTATAAAACTTAAATACAAATTAATTATACGAATATGTAATACTAACACATTTGCAACTCTGATTAAACCATAATTAATAACTATAATTAATATTGATAATTGATTAATGCAATAAAATCTTTTTCACCATAATTATTAATAATATTAATTAATAAACTTTTATTATTCAGTATAGCCCGTCCAAACCATCAAATGATACGTTTTGATGAATGAAAGTTGAGACCAACTTTGCTTTTTATATTATATTCCAGAGAGTTATATTATATCATAATATATATATATACATAAATAAATATATATATATAACATATATTATATATATATATGCA